AACTTTGGGTGTTTTCAGAGTTGCAGAGAAGCTAGTCCCAATATTACTTACATGTGTTTGACCCTGACATTTAGTGTAGTAACAGGGAAATAAGGAAGAGATTGTGTCTTGACAACTCAGATAACTTGTTGTGTCAGACAAGAAAGATCACTTTTCTGCTTCTTTCTCATAAAAAAGCATTAGAAAGCTGTCATTCAAATGAATATTTTTGTTTCAATTGTTCTTCTCCTTATTATAATGTCAGTTCAAAAGAGTAAGCAATTTTCTCACATTTTTAAGCAACAGAAAAGTCCAAGGTAGCTAGCTTCAGGAGACTTAGGAAGTAACTGTGGCAAAGAAGAGTATTGTGAAAAGGCAAAAAGAAAAAAAAAAGAAAGAAAACAAACAAAAAAAATACAGTAACAACAGGTAGTCGCTTTTTCAGGTTAACAGTTATACCCTGATTGTAAATTGGAGAAGCCAATGGTGCTGTTGGTGATTTTTGAGGGCAGCTAAAGTTGAACCATTAATTCTACTAAGGTGTAAACTCTTCAAAGATGTCAAAAACAAACAAATCTAAGCCTGGATCTTGTTCTTCTCGATCAAGATAAGCATCCAGATCTCAGTCTTGTTAGTTTTCAAAGTATCGATCCAGAAGACAATCTGTCTCTCGTTCAAGGAAGCCTGGACTGAGTTCTAGGTATCATTCCAGATCTTATTCTCCAGCTCAAAACAGAGAACGGAATCACCCCAGAGTGTATCAGAATCGAGATTTACAAGGTCACAACAGATGCTACAGTAAAGCCTATTACTTCTGTGATTATACATGACTTTTATCCATGGGACCAGTATAACCAAGATGGCTATGGAAACTACCATTCCAATTGGCAGAACTACCAGCAAGCATTCAGACCTTGTCGGGGCCGTCCTCTATGCTTGTCCCCAAAGAGAAGGTCAGCTTAACCACAGTCCAGGAGTCATTCTAGGAACTCTGATAATTCATCCTCTGACAGGTCAGGATACTCCTCATCCTCTGGTCGTCCTCTAACTACAGCAGGGTTGAGTCGTCTAAGTGAAAGTCTACAAAAGAGAAAAAGTCCTTTTCCAAGGATAGCCAGCAATCTCACACACCTGGTGATAACCAGGGAGATGAGGATGAGGAGCAGACATTCTCTGGAGCCTCCTCTCAAGATATAAAAGGCTTTGAGAGCTCAAAATCATAGCCAGATGTCACCACCTACAGCACTGGTTCCACATCACTGGCCTTGGTTTCTGAACTGAGTCCCAGGAGAGAAGCCCAGATCTCAGAAGTCCCCTCCACTTTGTGGCAGTTAGGCAAAGGTCACCACACCCTAGCCCTGTACCTCCACTTTCTATTGCATCCCAGATGGGCTCATCTAAGTCAGGTGATGCTGGATACAAGTCTGGAGCACACCAAGGTAAATACGACCATGACACTGGGTCATTGAGTCCATCCAAAAAAGAGCCCTGGGGGTAAAAGTTCACTAGCCACTGACTCCATATGATTCATCTCAGAAAGAAGAAAGCGCTGCTTCAAAAAGAGCAGCATACTCAAAAAGGCATCTGGAAGAACAGAAGACAGAGAATGGCAAGAAACAAACAAATGCCGATAAAGAGAAGCTGAAGAAGAAAAGAGGCTTCTCTGATGATGTCAAAATAAAATCTGATCCATTCACTCACAAGATGGACACTGAGAAGCCCTTCTAATGCAGCCAGTCACCCAAAAGGGATAAGCCCCAGGATGACTTTGAGAAAAACATGTCTGACTTCCACAAGTAGGCAATGGATGAGCAAGATAAGGACAAAAGTAAGGGAAGGAAGGAACCCCAGTTTAATGATGAGCACAAATTTATATATAAACTCATAGCCGGTGAAAGCAAAACCAGGAGGAAGAGAAGCCCGGCAAGTGGGACAGCAGATGGAAAAGCAGAGGAAAGCAGAGGAGCTGGAGGAGGAGACTTTCACAGAGAGATTCCAAAAGGAGGAGGGTGGAGGGTCCAAGAGGAGCGAAAGTGGGCACAAGGGTTTTGTGTCAGAAAAGAATTTCAGGGTGACTGTATACAATCCGGGCCAGGAGAAAAGTTCATCACATCCCTCAAGGAAGACCTCTGAGAGTGGTAACAAGCTGGGAAACAAAGGAAACTTTTCCTCAGGGATGTCTTCCTTTTCCACTACTCGGGAGGCCCAAGTTAATGTCCAGGTCTGGATGGACTCCTTCGAGGAGGACCATGTACAAGTCAGTGACTTACTGGCTCAGGAACAAAAGGTTTTTCGGGATCTAGTCCATAGCAACAAAAAGAAGCAAGAATTCCCTTCCATTTTCCAGCACATACAGTCAGCTCAGTCTCAGCTTACCTGTGAGAATTGTTTGCACAGCACAGAGTGACCGTTGTTCATCATGTTAAAGAGCATCACTTTGGACCCTCTAAAATGACATTGCACGAAGGTTTTATTAAGTACCTAAAGAAAGGAAATGAACAAGAAGCAACTAAAAATAAGAAAAGCCCAGAGATGCACAGGAGGACAGACATTTCCCCCATTACCTTCAGAAAGCATGATTTGACTAATGAGGAATTCAAAACTCCACAGGAACCCGGCTACAAAGCTGAGGGAAAAAACCAAGATGATCCTGTTGACCTTTGACTTGACTTTGAACTTAGAAAAAAAAAACATAAGGAAAGAAATCTCAAGTGAGGTAAATCAAGAGAGTTGGTAGATTCCAGAGACCGTAGCCACTCAAAAAACAGATCAACAAGACAGGGAAAATCCACAAAGGATCAAAGAAGCAGAAGATGCACCTCAGACCAAGACCAGTCTAGGTCCCCCTCCTCCTCCTCCTCCTCCTCCTTCCCCCTCCACCTCCCCCCTCCTCCTCCTCCTCCTCTTCCTCCACCTTCTCTTCCCAGTCTACTCACTCCTACAAAGCAGAGGAGTGCCCCCAAGGAAGCAGAGGATAAGAAGGAGGGCATCACAGGTATGGACAAATCAAAATTGGGGACCAAAACCTTCTTGAGTCTGAATGAGAGAGTTGGCAGAGCTCAGGGAATCTTTAAATTTCGAGCAAGAGGGAGAGGTTGGGGCAGAGGAAACTATTCTGGTAACAATAACAACCACAGCAACAATGATTTTCAAAAGAGAAGGCAGAAAGAAGAATGAGTTCCAGAGTACACACCCAAAAGCAAGAAGTATTCTTTGCGTGAACATCAGGAAGGCAAGAGCAGCAACAAGCGAATGAGCCAAAACCTTGGCCAAGGAGCCTTTCCCCAAGGGCAGGGTCACTTCATGTTCAGGAAATTCAGTGCCAGCCCTAGGCAGGCTCATGACAAGTTCAGTGTGGGAAGGGAGACATTGAAGATGATAAGAGTGAGACAGAGAACAGGACACATTACACTCCTCAGCTCAGTAGGGGCCACTCTTGATGGAGCCCTTGCCCATGAGAGAAAGGCACTGGCAGAGGCTGGTGAAGCTAAACAAGAAGCCTCATGAAGATCCTGAAAACTTCATCCACAACTCCCTAGATACACAGAATCCCGTGACAGCAGAGTGTGTTCCTGATGATGTCTTACTGTGCAGAGGATGCTGCCTCTGAGCCTAGTTCAGGCCCATGTTTCCAGCAGAACACACACACTGGGCTCCTGTTGTTGTTGGTGTGAGGGGTGGGGCAGGGTAGGGAGAAGGATGCTGATGCTTGTATATTGTTTTGGTTTTGTTGTCCCAGACCCCACTACACCCTCAATTTGAAACCAAGTTTTCTTAATTTGATTTCATTTGAAACTAAAAGGGAATTTGGTTTTCAGTCTGTTCCTATCCTGAGTTTTATTTTAAAATCTGTATAAAACAACAACAACAACAAATGTTCTCCAGAATCTTCATGATCACTTTGAACTAGAAATAGAACTATTTTTCCTCTTTGCATAGAGTAATTGATAGAGAATTTCACAGAACTAATGGAATTTTTCATAAAGAAAAAATGCCTAATGTAAGTTATTTAGTTGTTTGGCATCGTAGGTATTCCTTAAAGGCAATTCAACAGTTTAAAATAAGGTAATTGGAGGTGTCATACAGAATAGACTTGTCAGGTTAAAAGTTTAAAGTACTACCATTGCTATTGGAAAAGTGTCCATGTGCATTTCAGATGAGTCAGCAGCTGACAAGGGTTAGAAAATATGAATCATGTGACCTACAGCAAAAGGAAGTACAGTGGTAGGATCTGAAGCCAGCCTTTCCTCACAAATTTGCATAACTAAAGAGACTAACCTGGTTATGAAATCTGAAGTTGATTTATTTGAAATACCATTGAAATGACGAGGCAGCAGTGGTAAGAGGAGAGCTATAAATTCCAGATCTCAGGATCAGCCACACACAAACTCCTATCCTTCCTGTCAACTTCTGCCTTCAGAAACACAAGTAAGTGCTTCCAGCTACTATTGATGAACAGAATGAACTATGTTTTAGGATAACAATGCTGTGTTTTATATCACAAATATAAGATATTTTGCGTGATTCTAATATTCTTGATCTACAAAGAAAAAGTTAAATGCCTCCTTCACTTAATTTGATATTTGTCAAACAAATTTATTTTCAGTTAAACATATGTGTCTTTTGAAGAATGTAGGATTTGTGTCTGGCAACTACAGAATCTTAAAGAAAAGTTGATAGATGATTTTGGACACCTAGCTGCTTGCAAGCCTCAGTAATCTTTATCTTGGTATTCATTGGAAACCTTTCCACCCAAAACTACCACAGATGGTGAGGAAGGAAAAATAAAAAGATTCTCTATTTGATGTTTGCAAAGTCTTAAAGACTCTGACTTCATACATCCTAGATAGGAGATGTACATTGCAGAAGGTTTAAAAGTAATAATGATAAATTTATTTGCCAGAATCTGGCAATGAAGGTATGTCATTTTCTTTATGAACTTATCATTATTTAGTGAAGTCATTCTAACCTTTGTGCTGACTTTATGCTGTTCTAGGACTTTAAGGTCACACTAAGCCACCATGCATTTGTTTCCTGAAGCCACTACTAGATTCACACTTGAGCTGTTCAGGCAGCTCAGAGAATCAAAGGACAACATCTTCTATTCCCCAACCAGTATAATGACAGCATTAGCAATGCTACAGCTTGGAGCAAAAGGAAACACTAAACAACAAATTGAGAAGGTAGGTCTAAGCTTCATTTTGTTGACCAGTTTGAACTTGTCTCTCCAGCAGTCTGTCAGTGTACAGGTAAATGACAATAAATCTTGATGCCTGAGATGAAGAACAAGGTGTTGAGTTGGCATTGCCATGACTGTGAACACAGAACCATAGGAGGAACATGCCCATCCTAAACACGGTCCAGATGCATCCTGCTATCCATTAAGTACTGGACTAGGATAACTGCCTTCCAGTGTCCAACAGCAAGAAATAACCTTAAACTGTAGAGACTGTTGATACAAGCAGTGGATTGGCTCAGATCTGAGTGATATGATCTGAAGCATTCCCTAAGCACGGACTGAATGGGCATCTATTGATGTGACTGGTTACAGATCAGCTCTATGGTATTTCTTACAAACTCATGTGCAAACATTTAGAGTATATTTTTCCAAATCTTTAAATCTTTGCCTTTATTTTCAGGGGTTTGTTCTGGTTTTGTGTCCTTGGATTTAGACAGAACTTTAAGTGAATTTTACTGGTTGCAATTATTGTATCTTCCAGGTTCTTCAACTCAATGAAACCACCAAGAAGACAGCAAAACTAGCTGCAGACAGTCATGTAAGTGCAGAGTACCTCATGCCTAGAAGAACTTCAGTTTTTGACAGCATTATAATCGAAAGTTAACATTCTACATTTAAAAAGAAAAACACTCTGTAGGGGAATCTCGAAACAAAAGAGATTTAGATGTGGAGTAGTGTCACGCTTCTTTCTCATAGTCATTATGTTCATTAACTACAGAAGAAGGTCAGTATTGGATGGAGAGGCGGATGGCCTAGATCCAGTTCTAGCTCTGCCCCTCTCAGATGGGGACCATGAGCAAAGCTCTGCCCTGACACACTGGGAATATGGTCTACCAAAGTGGGAGCAATAAGGAATATGATTCAACATGTATGAACACTTAGAAAACTGTCCAGCTTGTTACAAATAAAAAAACATAATAAATGTTAGACAACATTACTGAAGATAAAAGTAATTGTCAGTATAACAATAAATAATATGATTAAAACTATTTTATCTTAATTCATCAATTGGATTAAGAGAAATAAGCACATATTCACATATTAAGTGAAATAAGTCCTTCTTGGAAAATGATAGCTATCATACCTCTATGTGTTTAGAGCCTTTACTACTTTACCTTCTTAGCAGGAAAAGAGAACTGTTCTGGTTCAGACAATCTTAGATTCACAATTTGGCTCTGTAGCATTTCTTTGAAGAGTTGTTTAAATTCTCTGAATATTTTTGTTTTTAATCTCGATTATACTCAGACTGATATTACTTACATATAGTCCAGTCCTTAGATTAATCACGGGCATATGCTACCTTATATGCTATTTACATGGAGAGAATATCCACCATGAGGGAAAAACCATAAATCAGATTAAACTTGTCTTAGGCAATACCATTAAAGGTTATACATATCATGGCTGCCTATAATAACATATTTGAAATAGGCAAACAGTATAACCATGTATTAGTGATTCTAAGAAATGACAAATGATCTGTAGTTTTGAATAATATAAGCCAAAACAACCTGAAAGTACTACATATTTAGGTCAAAAGTCTGCAAACCGTATTATGTGGATAAAAGAAAGAGTCATTTCTGGAAGAGGTTGAATGTAAACTAGGAATATTTAAGATAATATACAACAGATGTCAGAAAATATTAAAATTGTCTTTGAGATTAAAATTGTTTGGGTATTGATTTTGTGGACTTAGTATCTACAATAGAAGGGTAATTCAATGAAAACCTTTTTGACGGTGAAGGATGAAGAAAATGTCCATGAACAATTTCACAAGCTTATGACTCAATTAAATAAATCCAATGATGCTTATGACCTGAAGGCTCCCAACAGAATCTATGCAGCAAACAGTTTCCAATTTCTCCAGGTAAGTTCCCCCTGGCTCTGCATCCCTTTAATCTGTACTCTAGGTCCGACAAATATTAATGGCCATACATAAAAGTGAGGCCAGGCAGATTCAGATAGGTAACACTTGCTGAGGGAGCATCAGCTTCATAATCAAAGTTCTAGCTCACTGCATTGTCCAAGAGCCTAGTGATTTATGTGTGAAGCATAGACTCAGCAACTCTTCCGTGAGAGAATGTAGGTCAACAGAACTTGTCATGAGATGTTAGTAATGAACTAGCACTGACATGGTCACAGAGATTATGACAGGAGATCTCTGTTGAGGAGGATGTTTCTGGAATTGGCAGGCTTGGGGAACTCCTGGAGAGAACTGGGGAGGGGGCAGATAATATGGCATTTCCTCCATTGAACACATGATCAAAGGAGAATTACAATGGTTGAACTTAGTGGTAGGATAGCTCCTCAGCCAATCAGCTCTCTCAGGAGAATTTACTATGAAATTTTCAAGTAAGACCCTCTTTTCCACCTGCCATCTGCCAGATGCTATATTAGTGTAAGGTTGCCTTCAGTTCACTGTGTTCTCAAATCGCCTACATATTACCTGAGTAAAAATCTTCATGTTCATAGCCTAACAGTTGCCATCAGGGTCAGCAATCAGCTTATAGAATCATCACAACGAATGAAATTTGAGTGATGTCTATGTTGTTCTTATTTGGTTCCTTCACATTTCAAAGACATATTTGGAAGACATTAAGAAATATTACCAAGCTAACATGGAATCACTTGATTTTGTACATGATACAGAAGAAAGCCAAAAGAAGATTAATTCCTGGATGGAAAGGCAAACAAATGGTAATGTATGTTATGGTCTCTGGAGGAACCAGCTGAGATTATGGGATGGTCTACATAAATATGAAGTGAGCCAAGAGGAAGTATGGAGCCATTGGCAGAAAGCCAATCAATTAAAGTACAACAGGACATTTGTTTACATATAGTTTATTTAGTGGTTAAGTTTGAGACTCTAAAAGCTCCACCCAAATATATTTTCACATCATATCAATCATATCAATATTAAGTTGCAAACAATTCTTGAAAACTAGGAGCAAATGTTAGAAAAAGTCCCATTCTCTTTAGCCAGTCAGAAAAGCAAGGCACTTCTTGTCACCACAGCTGGATCTCAGATCATATCTCAAGCCTGACACTTTGAAAGAATTTATCATATTGTCTTTGACACCTAACACAGAGATCTCTGCAGATTTCTATCCCATATCTCATCTCTGTTTATAGGTCAAGCCTGAAGCAATAGAATATGAAAGCTAACAGAAGGACACAGCAGGACTGGTGTCTGATATTACCAGGAATGTACTTCAGACTATAGAATCCATGTCATTTGTAGAAAAGAACAAATTAAGCCATGGGTAGAAGGCTAGAAGAGGAAGAAAAGAGTTAGGTTGACAGCATAGATGGAAACAGTTTGAGTACTCACTGTGAGTTGGCCATAATCACCCAGACTGGAAGTCTGACAGCCTTTCCTATGACAAGATCTGATGTGTTCATCCCAGGTAGCTCACAAGGCACTTCGAGGAGGGCTACTTCTTATGAACAAGTCAACAATTTCCTCATGTAATGACTTGGGTGAACAGTGATAAGTGATCAACAGTGAACTCTTGTAAAGCATGCTCCAGAAAAGCTCTTGTCCTGATGATAGACACTTTGTTCTTTCCCTTGAAGGAAAAATCAAAGGCTTATTTCCTGCTGGGAGCCTGAGCAGTAGCACTATACTGGTTCTGGTGAATGCAATGTATTTCAAAGGACAATGGAATCACAAATTTGATGAAAAGAATACCACAGAAGAAAAGTTTTGGTTGAATGAGGTATTGGTTAGCAGTTTATTTACATAAAGTAATATGGTGATGTGTGGATGATTTAATTTAAATATAAGTAATGCCACAGAAGTCAAAAATTAAAAATGTGTTTTATTTTTGTATCTTAACTAGGAATAACTAAAGAAAAATTTGTCTGGACTTAACAAAATTTCAGAGTTATGTCTTCAAGAGAAGCTGATATGTTTTGTGTCTCGACAATATCGCCTGTGCTGTCCTAGGTTTTCCTTGATTTGTCTTTGACATGGTGATTTTTGCAGAATACAAGTAAATCTGTCCCGATGATGAAACAAAGAAACGAATTCAACTTCATCTTTCTGGAGGATGTGCAGGCCAAGATTGTGGAACTTCCATACATAGGCAAAGAACTAAGTATGCTCATCCTGCTGCCAGTGGAAATTGATGGTCTGAAGAAGGTACAGCTTGTGTCTCCTTTTCTTCCTTCCATTACCTGATTTGTTCATAATGTATCAAATTCAAAAAAGACACTACGGAAAATAATTAAACATGACTATAATGAAAAATTTAAAGTGAGACAATGTGTCTCATTCTGTAATATAAGTATTTTACACACAGTCTGAATCACACTGCATGCTTGCCTAATCAGGAATTAAGCTGAGTAATGAATATTAAATATCAACATGATGCCACTAATATGGAACAAGACAAACTTGGTTGAAAGAAATATATAGCATTGTACACAGTGTTTATAAATATTTTAAATGAAAGTGAAAAACATAGGGCATTAGATGATAACTTTAAATGAAATACTATGTACAGATAGCTGGCTGGGAGCATAAACAATAATGGACACAATATATTTTGTACAAAACAATAATTCTAGGTTTTTGATATTGAAAATAAAATCTAACTTTAAATTACCTAAATAAATAATATCTAAACCAATAGACTAGTATTTATTGATAGCTACAAGTTTTGCTTTGATTCATTGTTCATGTAAGTTACAGTCTTTCAGTTAATCATGGCAATCGCTTTTCTCTACTTTTATAGCTTGAAGAACAACTCACTGCTGACAAGTTTCTAGAATGGACAAGCCCAGAGAACATGCACATGATCGAGATGTATTTATCTCTGCCTCGGTTCAAACTGGAAGAGAAGTATGACCTCCCTGGTCCATTAGAACACATGGGGATGGTCGACGCCTTCAATCCACAGAAGGCTGACTTCTCAGGCATGAGCAGCACTCAAGGTCTCATGGTGTCTAAAGTTTTACACAAGTCCTTTGTAGAGGTAAATGAAGAGGGAACAGAAGCTGCAGCTGCCACAGGAGTGGCAGTCAATAAACTATCTGCACAGATGTCAGAAGATGTCAATTGTAACCACCCTTTCCTATTCATCATCAGGCATAACAGGACCAAAAGCATCCTCTTCTTTGGCAAAATGTCTTCCCCTTAATTGCAGTGTCTCTGCCATGCCTCCAGAAAAGTTAACAAAGTTCTGCAGCTAATTATGGCCTAGAAACAACAGTTTCTCTTGCTTCATTTTTTTCCCATCTCAGAATCTCTGCTAAGAGTGCATTGGTTGGGGGCAGGAAAGCTCTATTATCTCTATTTTTCTTTCTTTTCTTCTTCTTTTTTCCCATATACACATTCAAAACCGATTTCTCTGTATAAACACTCTGGGGAAAAAAAATGAAAGGATATATTACCATAGTTTCTTTTAATCTAACATGTACCTGTAACCTAGATTAAGTGAGCTATACAGAGTAAAACATGCCTTCTTTAAACTGATTAATACAAACAATTACATTGCTCTACTTGACATTAGGGGATATCTCTGCACTTCATAAGCTTATAAATGTTATAATTTTACAAAGTAAAATTTGAATAAAATAATTATCTTTTCAATTTCTTTATTACTTTATCATCTTTTCAATAGCAAGATGCCAATTATTCAGGAGGAATATGGAGAGAATGATAAAAGCAAATTCACTTACGCTAAATCTGGTGTTTTGTACAGATACAGTTCTACACATGCTTATTTTATTTTTAGAGCAAGAAAACGTGGTAGATTTATGGTTTATAGATTTTAGTACCAGGGAACAACTCAAGACCAATTCCATACAAGGTAAATTCTCTACCACTAAGCCAAGCCTTGGGAAAAAATAAAAATTTAAATCCTACAATGAGAAATAGTAGTTTCATCAAAGATAAGCAGATTAGAAACATCAATATTACTATAATTTACTATATCAGCAGCCCTAGTGAAAGATCCCTAGAAATCCGTGTTATCCAGCGTAATAATCATTAGAAAGCTGCTTTCACATATAAATTAAATGAACATACCTTAAATTAATTAGTCCATTTTCTTCCCAATAGCTGACATGGGTAGCATATGGTGTCTTTGACCATGGAATTTTCAACACATTTATCATTCTGATTGCATCACCACAGAACACTTAAGAGCTCAGCTTAAAAATCTAGAGAATTCCATGACAAAATTTAACATCAGGACCTTAAGAGGGCTCTTAGTAAATAAAGATATAAAAGGTTGATTCTTTAACAGTTAAAATAGACCTATCCAAATTTCAAATCCAGTCTCTGGTTGAGTAAGAATCACTGGAAAGTTTGAACCCAAAATAGTATAAGAGAAAACAGATGTTTTTCACCATTATCAATAGAAGAAAAGGGAGATAAAAGAGTCAGTCCATCTACAGAGCGTGACATGGTTTGTGTTTTTACAAAGAACAAAAAATAATCAGTACACATGTGTATAAATAGAAGCTATCTCTGGAGGGAGATGTAAGAAACTGCATCACCACAGCAGAGCAGAGAGAAATGGGGAATCTGAGATGTCTGCCTGACCTTCAGGGCTGTGTGGGAATGAGAAAGTTCTCACAGAACTTTGAACAAAAGACAGCTCAGCAACTCTGTTGGTCTACTTTGAATGCAAGCTGACAGAGCAGGAAGAACCTGCTGGCCTTCTCTAACCCTTCAGGTCATCTTTTAACCATCCCTCTGATCTTCTAAACTTTAAAGACAAACGCCCCTTCTCTCAGCTCACACTCACTGACTTGCAGAAAACTGTTAGGCTTGTCTAAAACTATACAGATATAGAGTCTGACCCCCAGATGGTCCCAGGTCAGGCAAACTTTGACTTTTTTTTTTTTTTTGGTTTTTCGAGACAGAATTTCTCTTTATAGCCTGGGCTATCCTGGAACTCACTCTGTAGACCAGGCTGGCCTCAAACTCAGAAATCCACCTGCCTCTGCCTCCCAAGTGCTGGGATTAAAGTCATGCGCCACCACCACCCAGCTGACTTTCAAAAACAGTAGAAATCAACTTTCTTTTCATTGCTCTGAAAACTCCCATGTGTGCCAAGATGTGCAGAGCCCAGGACACATGTTCTTAGAAGAGAATTAAATCTTCCATACTTGCTTAGTCTCAGGAAGAGTCACAGCTATCAGGCACAACTTGATAAGCATCAAAAAATTTGTTTTATTTTGATTTTGGGAATATAAATTATTTGTAGCTATTTAAATCAAGCATATTTAATATTAGAGATTTGTATTTTAGTAATCTTTGTATTAGCAAATATAGCTAAAATAAGAATATATTTTTAAAATTGATTCTATGTGTTCATAAATAATGAAATGTCCTCAAGAGATTTCAGCTGAGAGATGTCGATACTACGAAGTCATGTGTAAGGAAAAGCCAGTTTCACTGAGGATGCACTCAACTGTTCTCTCATGGACCATAAATAGCATCTTCCCTGATTTAGTTTTAAAACTGAGAACAAACACAGCTCATCTCTAGAGAACGACTGACCTCGAGACCAGACCAAAGCTATCAACCCCTAAAATACAAATTCTCTAAAACAGTGTAAAATTGGTGTGATATTGCTAACATAAAATAACATTTTTTGAAGAGATGGTTCATTACAAACAAGTTGTGGTGTAGCTTAGAATTTATGAATAAACTCTGCCTTTGAAGACTTTGCTTGGAAAGGGTTGTTTCTACAGTAACTCTAGGTGGACACATGTATTTTTTTATGGAAGCTTTTGGTATCACATGAGCAATATTAAAATGCGAACAGACAAATATGTCTTCAAATAGGTGCCTTCTGTGGGTTGAAGATGGCAGTTACTGAACAAAGAAAAGTCTTACCCATGTTATTATCATCTCAGCAATAGTCAAGGTTTCTTTTTTTTTTTTTTGGCAAATGCCTATCTGTATATGCAAGCAGACAGGAGCCACCCGGGCCACCTGAGGATTCACTGACATAGTTATCACATGATAAAAACACATAGCAATGGCCAAGAGATACGTCAAGGTTTCTAATGCTTCTGTTACCAAGCAACTTTTCAAACTATAATTTGTCGGTGAGTATACCTGCCTAGCCAGAGGATGTTGCAAGATGACTGAGCACAGCTTACAATTTAGCTCTTCTCTCTTAAGCCAATAAATGCATCTGTTTGTAGTTTGCTCACCAGACACATGACTTTGAGTAATGTGAAAACCCCTATTCCAGAAAGTATTTATAATGCATCCCTAGTCTATGCTCTCTCACACCTTCACCTCTAACTGAACTCATTACAGTCTCTTTGAGATCAGCAAGCTCATTGATGTTAATCTTCTTACCTGTCTCTTTCTCTTAGCAAATTGTTATGCTTCAAGGCAAGAACCGTCCTGGATCCGTATTGCAGTCTATGCTGTGAGTGTTTAAAAGATATATATTGAATGTGATTAAGCTATATACATGGGATCTGGTTATCTACAGAGGCAGAAAAATGCATTTGGACCTGTGTCTTTAAACTGTGTCTTTAAACATCTTGATGCTTCATTGGGAAAATCATCATCCCGTAGGGGACAATTGTTAAAATTCCTGGATTCTGCACACCATACTCCCAGGTAGTGAGACTAATACAACTAACTGGGAGATAAAATGTTTGACTATTGAATACCTGTTAGTTAAATATATTCCAGATCCACTCTAGAATCACTGAATTGATCAGAGAGTAGACTACTCTAAACCTCTGTGGTATTAGACCCATGGTATCAGTTCTCTAGGATGTAGGCAGATATCCTGACCCAAAGGAAAAGATAATAACATGGTCCACTTGCCCAGTTCCAGTGCTGAAGACCTGTGTGTCCTGTTTAAAATACATCAAAGCTGAGACAAAACATCTGAGCATACCTGCCATGCAAGAGACTAAACCAGTGAAAAATCCCTCACATAATAGGGTTTTCACATGCACACACAGGTCATTTGCTAAAAGTTCATAATTTGGTGACAGTTTTAGGAGGTGTTTGGTTAGGAACTGCTGCCAGAATGGAGGAACTGGCCATATAGTATTGAAGGGTGTATCCTGTGCTCACTCTGTTTTCTGACCATTACTAGGTAAACAGCTTTCTACTTCCTCTGCCATGACATTTCTACCTTGTCACAGCTTAAAATGGACTAAGAACCTCAAGCCAAGATGAGCCTTTCCTTCTTCTCAGTGGAATCCATCAGATATTTCATCTCAGTCATAGAAGACTGAGTGACACACAGAAAGGAAACGCCAGGGGTTCTGATCTGAGGGCTACAAAGGCCAGGTTTATGGCACACTGACTAAAGATGAGTAACCTGAACATGGACGGGAGCTGTGGTGACTGTAAAGTTTTTCTGCTGTTGACCTCTCTTGGCTTCTGGGTCTCACTTGATAAGGAATTGCAACAGTGGGTGTCTGTTTGGTTTTGCACATTTGGCTTCCTTGTCCCTCTGGTTTTTTGATTTGTGCAAATTGCATGGTGCTTTCCTGTGGTAATGGCTGCCATCCTATGAAGGGAGGTCTACATTTTGAGCCACCTTTGTGTGATTAACTGAAAGCTGAGGGAGGGTCTTTGGTCAATTGTTCACATGTGTTTAATGTATGTAATAAATTATTCTCCATTGGTGAAATGAGTCTATTCAAGCCAGATTAGAGTTTATCAAGGCAGGTTTACTGAGATGCTGCTACACTAAGCCAGTGAAGTCACCATGAGGAAGAAGACAATTAATTGCAGAGAGAAAAAGAGAGAAAGCTTTTATACACAGGAAGAGATAAAATGCAGAGCAGGGAGGGAGAGAGGAGAAGGACCAAAATGTCTGATATGGGAAGGAGCTTCTTGGGGTGGGGCACAACAGCTTCTGGAATCGGTTGTGTAGCTATAATCATAATTGGAAGAAATCTTTATAGTTGTTACAAAGCTGAAGTTATAATTTCTTAAGTTGGTACAGAATTTACTTTTTGGTACAGATTTAAGGTTTGCATTGGTATAAATTTCTTCTATTGATACAAAAAGTTAAGAATACAAAGCTCAGACCCAGTCTTCTATGCTTTTACAAAATATTTTTAGATGATTAAACAGTATGAATTAAGTATCAGAGAGCAAACTCATGGTTCCGAGTTAATAATAAAAGTATGTTTTGAG